CAATTAGTATACAAATTAGTGTATCAATACATGTTATAGCAATGTAATTTCAAAATTATGGGCCCTACCTATTATATAAATTACAAAAACTCAAAATCAATAAAATTATATCATATTATCCGTTAATATACTAATTGATATACCAATTTATACCTATAATTTTATTCTTACATTATCTGTCATCCCAAAATGAGGTGAGAAAAGATTGCAATTATTTATGGATATCACAATTAATGTGAATAATTAAAATAAATAAAAATCGACGATGGTTCAATTGCCCATTAATGAATTTTGTGGCTCGTTACACACAAAATCACACCACATTACATACATTGGATTAGTGTGGCCTCACTTTGATGTTCTTTTTCTATGGAGAAGTCATAGGAAATTTTTTTCCTTTGTATTTATTTCTTTATAATTATAAAAATTATGAGATTGAGAAGTTGATTGTGTTGTGGACATGAGCTGCAGTAATAAGGGTAGTCTGTACTTTCTAAATATTTCTTGGTGCATTTTATTTATTGTACTTGTTACTTTATATTTTTAATGAAATCTTCACTTTGTTGATAAATAAAAATAAAATAAAATAAAAAACTAGAACTATTTGTTATCTTATTGTCCAAGTTTCACGTTTTTTACCCTAGAACCTGAAACTCAAGTTATCTTAATTTTACAAACCAACGCATGCAAGAATTCTTTACTAGGTGTACGCTCGGCACATCCACATACGTGTAATGACCGTGAAAATTTAAAATTGTAATTTGTATTAAACAACCTAATAGCTTAAAATGATTATAATAAAATTTTAAAATCAGATCGTCTACCATGATATCCTACGGAGATCCCTGCCGTTGTTCAAAAACGGCATCGTTTTGACGTAGTTTTTTTTTTTTTGTTTTTTTGGTGCCCTTTTTCCCCTTTACCGCTTCCCCTGTTTTCTTCTCTCTCTAAGTTCTCAAACATTTGAGAACTAAGAACTCTAACCCGACAAAGAGGAGCCGACGGCGAGGCAACAAAAGAATGTAATGGGGGAAACCTCAGAGAACACATTATGATCTAGGTATTCTCGGAAATGAGGCCGGCGACTCCGACTCTGTTCACAGCCGCCTTCACGTACTGTGTCATAGTCTCTATTTTTTGTTTTTTTTTTTTGTTTTTTTTTTTAAGGATCATATGTAGAGTCTGTTAGATTTCTGGTTGGTTTGATTTGGTTTTATATATAAATGATGATGACAATGTGGATTTGTGGATTTCTATGTAGAAAAGCATTGAATTGATTTTTGTGTTGTTGACTAGTTAAGTTATTATGTGGCCTTTCTTTTTTTTTTTTATCAGCAAAGAAAAAAGGAAACTTTATTGATGAGATGAGAAAGTACAAGCAACAAGATACATCAATAAAGGAGGGAAGTGCAAAAAATATCATAGCTAACACTCCAAAATCCCAACTAGGTTGGCACCAAGGAGGAAGCACAATCATTTGTTAACACTAAGCCCAAATATTGGCGAGAAACCAATCTAAAAGAGAGAACAAAACAAAAGAGAGAAATAAACAAATTTCAACCACACCAACATACACTAAGAAATTAACAAGATACAGAGTTAAGCAGCAAGGCAGCAAACATCAGATGAGCAGACATCAGTTCAGGTCCCATTCAGTAGGGTTCAACTGGTATGAGTAACAGGACAGTACTCCCAAACATTGCTACTGCACGCAAGCAAGACCAACATATCAGATCCCTACCCAAGCATAACAGTCTAGGATCAACCATGCAACTAGAACCATATCCAAGACCAAAAGCAGAACAAACCATCCATCCATAGCATAGCAGGACAGATCATCCAGCATAACAGATCCTGATGCAGAACCATCCAGCCAAATATTCATAACCCACTATTCCTATCAATCATTAGATTCATGGCTTCAGTTGACGTCCCATGTTCATCCTGCAGATATACTCCCCAACCCCTGCATGTGCTCTGAAACATGACCTATGGGCCTTGTTTTGATCAAAGTTTCTGCTTTGATCAAAACTAAGATGACAGCAATTCAGCGTAATACTTTTGCAGCCAATCTCAATTCAGATTTAGCTTCTACCCCTCAAAGCTACTGATTTGTGACTTAGCTCTGCAGCAACAAGGCACATTCCATCTAATTGGCTAACCTCACCAAGCAAGAAGGCACATTACATCCTTTTATTTTTCTCCATCATGACAATGTACTCCAACAATCTGCTACATACCAATCAGGTTAGTGCCAAAGTAGCAGCTTCAGACCAGCTTCCAACTTTGGTGACAGATTTACCTTCACAAACAATCTGCACAGATCAGACCAGCTTCCTACATCCGCATGCCTACCAATTTTCAGTAGCTCCACCATCTATGCAAAATTGAGGCAAAGCAGCATACAGTTTTAACCTTAAAACTAACTAAAGGCACCAGCAGACTTCCAAAATTTACTTAGGGGCACCAGCAGACTTCCATCAGCAGACTTCCACCAGCAGTAGCTGCTCAGACCAATAAGCTGCACAAACCAGCATACAGCAGCAGATCAGCAGTAAGCAGCCTACTAGTTGACATCAGCCTAACAAAATAGAACCTAATGTATAACAACCAAGATAGTTCTTAAATTTGAAGAAAAATAAAGCTGAGGGCCTTGTATAATTCTACTACTGAGCAATCCAAACATATCTGTAAGGCAGCCCAATCAACAAACTAGAACTTGAACCATCAACCTGAATCTGAACCATCAGAGCAAACCTATGAACACCAAACTTACTGTTCATCCAAGGTCCACACAAACTATACTGAGCTCACAGAGATCACTAAATAAACTGAGCCACTCTAAACTATACTGAGCTCCAAAACATTTAGCAGTGGCACCCTCATAGTATCTGTACACACCTAGTAAACACCCTCTTTCCTGCACCAAACACCTCAGGAGATGCCTTCAACCTTACAAAGCACACCACTACACTAAATCACTACCAAGGTAGTCCAGCATATCAGCCCACCACTGAGCCTCGTAGTCCAGCAGGAAAGAATCTGAACCTGAACCTCAAATACACACTCCAGCAGAATCTGAACCTGATATGCACTCCAGCAGATACACACTCCAGGGTCAAGACTCAACTCCTATGTCGAATACAATATTGGACCTGTTGCAAGTTAAAGACTATATCATTAACAGAGAACTCCAGTTTGACTGGGGAAGATTTGACCCACACAGCTATTCTTACTTTGACCAGCTCACAGAGATCTTCAAAATTTGGCCACAACCCATTAAACATACAGTCGTTTCTATGCTTCCATGTGGACCAAAGGACAGCCAAAGGTATAACCTTCCATAGCTGCTTCTCAATCTTTTTCATCTTACAGAATGACCACCAGTGCAACAATCTTTCCACTGAGTTTGGTATAACCCACTGTACACCCCACCATTTCATAATATGAGACCATAACAGCCAAACAAAAGGGCCAAAAAGCAAGATATGATAGATTGTTTCCACTTCATCATGACAGAAAACACAACCCACATTAGAATTCACATCTAAGATCCCTATTCTCTGCAGGAAACTTGATGTTTTCACTTTATCTTTGCCATGCCAACCACCCAAAGAATTTTACTTTAAGTGGAGCACAGTTATGCCAAACTGCCACTGCCATATTCCTAACAGGCCCCAAGGACAATTCACATCTTTTGTATACTAATGCAATAGAGAATAACCCAGTTGGATCAGCCTTCCACTTCCAAATATCTGGACTTGAGACCCGAATGGCTGGTATAGATCTTATTAAGGTATGTAACCTACGTACCTCCTCCTCTTCCCAGGCTAACAAAGGCCTCCTAAATTCCATATTCCAATCCTGCAGCCCTCCTCTTCTAGTATAAAATTCAGAAATTGTTCCATACTTATCGGTGAATAGAGAGAATAGTCTGGAAAACTCAGTCTTAAGACACAATTCCCCTGACCATTTATCTAATCAGAATTGAGCCCTCCTACCATTTCCCAACTGAATGACTGCATTATCAAGATAGAAATTTAAAAATTCAGGCCGACATCTAACTGCATTAATTATATCAGACCAAATTTTTCAAACTCTGATATTTCCTTCCATATGAGGCAGCCATCTTCCACTCCCCATATTATACTTTGAACATATAACGTCCTTCCACAAAGTGTGGTTTTCTTTCCCAAACCTTCACCACCATTTCATCAATAGCCACTTATTCATATCTGCGGATCTTCTAACTCTCAAACCTTCTAAATTTTTACTCTTGGTAATGGCTTCCTATTTAACCATGTGAACTTTTCTTCTTAGATCTGAACTCCTCCATGGGAAATTTGCTTGAATTTTATCAATTTCTTTAGCCACCCCCACTGGAAGTTTGAACAAGGACATGTAGTAAATAGGCAAGTTACTCAAAACAGATTTAATCAAAGTTAGCCTCCCAGCAAACGAGAGCAACCTTCTCTTCCATGAGGGTAATTTCTATTTAAATCTATCCTAGACTGGCTTCCAAGTACTTTTCCTCCTAGGGTTAGCTCCTGAAGGTAACCCAAGGTACTTTAGAGGCAAGTTTTGATATGTACAATTTAATCGAGAAGCAAAGCCTTGCATCAGCTCTTCATCCACACCAACTGCAGCAATCACACTCTTATGATAGTTAATTTTCAGCCCTGATATAAGTTCAAAACACCTAAGTATTCTTTTGACGGTTACCACTTCCACCCACTGAGCTTCACAAAACAGTATTGTATCATCAACAAATTGTAGATGCATTACTTTTACCCCTTGATTACCTATGGTAACTCCTTCAATTAAACCCATTTCCTTTGCTCTGACAAACAAGATATTAAGCCCCTCAGCCACTATATTGAAGAGAAATGGGGATAATGGGTCCCCTTGCCGTAGGCCTCTCTGTGGATAAAACTCCTCGGTAGGTGAACCGTTCACTAAAACTGACACTTTTGTGGAGGTTACACAAGCTTTCATCCATCTCACCCATCTTTCACCAAATCCGAAATTGGCACACACATTAAACAAGAATTTCCAATTGACGAATCATAAGCCTTTTCAAAGTCTAGTTTCAACACTAGACCTTTCTTATTCGATTTTCTCCACCCATCAACTACCTCATTTGCAATAAGAATCCCGTCCAGAATATTCCTACCCCTCAAAAATGCTGATTGAGACTCACTAATGATTCTTGGCATCACTTGCTTCATTCTATTTGCCAAGACCTCAGCAAGAATTTTGTACAAAGAACGATAAGACTAATGGGTTGATATTCATTCAAGATTGATGGGCTATCCACTTTGGGAATTAGAGCAATGAATGAACTATTTAAACCACTAACCAAAGTGGCATTCTGATGGAACTCACTAAAGAATTGCATTATCTCAGACTTAACTATTCCCCAGTATTTCTTAAAAAAGGCCAAATTAAACCCATCAGGCCGAGGTGCTTTGTTTCCTTCACAGCTCTTAATCACATGACTAACTTCCTCCTCTGTAAACTCTGCTTCCAACAAATCCACTGCTGGACTATCTCCAATATGTTTGAACTGACCAACCAGTTTAGGCCTAACAACCCAATTTTCAGAGAAGTGGTTCATGAAATGCTTCTTTACCTCAAGTCTAACCTTCAAAAGTTCCTCAACCATTGAGCCATTCACCAGAACAGAGCACAAAGAATTCCTACTGTTTCTGTTGCACGCCATAATGTGAAAATGCCTGGTATTCCTATCCCCTTGTGTGGCCCAACTAACTCTTGACTTTTGTAACCAGATACGTTCCAACATTTTGTTCAACCTCCAGATTTCACCCATTAGTTCCTTTCTTCTAGCTTGTTCATTTCCCAGCAGTGGTCTATCTTCTGCAATTAATTCAATTGCATGAGCTTCCTCTTCAGCATCCTTAAGCTTAGTTTCAACTTTTCCAAACACAGCAGTGTTCCACACTCTTAATTTTTGTTTGTGGCCTTGTAAAAGAATGTGAGCAATAACCCTTATTTCAATAAAAGCAGATAAAAGAATTGATGAAAAGATAAAATCAATGATGGACTTCCAAGCAAGAGTGGAGGTGAGTGAAGTGTGTTGAACAAAAAGAGTGATTCGTGAAAGAGATTCATGTTTGTGAAAAACGATTAAGAACCGATTCATTTTTTATTTTATTTTTTTGATTTTGCTTCACCTAAATTCTCCTCTTCTTCTTCTTCTTCTCTCTTTCTCTCTCGCCTCCGCTGCCATAGTCTTCTTCATCTTCGGTCATTCGAGGTGCTTAGGGTTATCAACTCTGCGTCCCTTTGAGACACTACAAAAAAATTTAAGGTTTTAGAGACTAAAATTTTGGCACTAAATATTTTTGTTACGAAAAGCGTTATTATATTTTTAGTAACGAAAATTGGACATTAGTAATGAATTATTATCCTTTTGGACCAAATTTTTTGTCTAAAAAAATAAATCATTTTGAGACCAAATTATTTTATTCTTAAAAATCTATTTATTAGTGATATTTTTAAAATTTTGTTGATAGAAATTGGTCCCTAAATAGAAATTGATTCTTAAATATCTTTTGGAATAAAATTTTTACTTTTAAAGACTAAAATGTTTAGTCTTTAAAACCTTTATATGTTTTAGTGAGAGCTTAGAGAAAGAGCAAAACAAGGAGGAAAAAAAATATTAGGCTAAAACGACGTCATTTTGACATCACAGGAGAAGACGTCACGGGTGTCACGGAGATCTGGACTCGTTGTTTTGTGGTCTTAAAGCAACCAATTTCATGCCTAATGGATACATTCACTGTACGAAACCAAAGCAATAAAGCAGACACGATAACGAGCACTGAAACAACAATTCAAGGTGAGAAAAAGTAGCTCACCACCCACTTGAAAAATGCATGGGCTACCCCATTTAAGATATAAGATAGGAACGAATTGTCAATGTCAATGCTTGTTTGGAATGTTATGAGTCTTTTTAATTTTTTAGTATGTAATTTATATATAGGGTTAAATAAATTTTAATTTCAATGTTTAAATTGTGTCAATTTAATTTGTAATATATAAAAGTGTTTTAAATTGGTCTCCAAAATTTAAATTATATCAATTTGATTTCCAATATATAAAAAATATTTCAGTCTAGTCTCTTAATATTTTCAATTACGTCTTAAATATTGACAAACCAAATTAAGATATTTTTCATACATATCGGCAATCAGATTGACATAATTTAAATATTAAAGACTACAATGACACAAGGTTTATACGTTGGAGACTAAAAATGTGATTAACCCTAATTCATCATGTTCTATCTGTCTATCTATACCATTTATAAAGCAAACACTCAATTTGTTGTCTTGGAGCTCAGAGACTAACAGTATACTAGTACTAAATTACCCAACTCATTATTTATTCGTTTCTCCAAATTTAACCTAATTATCATGATAGATTTGGTATTATTATTTTACTTTATGTTTAACCTTTTTCTTTTTCAATATTTTGCTGCATAATTTAGTATTTATCTCTTTTAAAGTAAGAAAGGGGAATACATTGGTTTTCTGTTTTTAATTAGTTGCCCACCAATTTTGTGATGTAAAGATTACGTCCTTTTTTTTCTTTTTTCTTTTTTGTATGATGGAAGATAGATTACCTGGTTTTTGTATCTTTCTAACATGACTTTTGTAGCTAATTAAGTTATTTGTGACCTTTGGAAGTGGTGTTTTTGTCCTCCAAATTTGGTGAAAATCCACTTTAATGGGCAGTTGACAATGGAAGATAATGGCAGTAGAAACAAAAGCTTTCACAACAAAAATATTGTAGCTAATTAAGTTATTTGTGACCTTTGGAAGTGGTGTTTTTGTCCTCCAAATTTGGTGAAAATCCACTTTAATGGCAGTTGACAATGGAAGATAATGGCAGTAGAAACAAAAGCTTTCACAACAAAAATATATATTTTTTTAATTTATTATTATTATTGTTTTTATGATCTGCAAAAAATCTTTATTAATGACAAAATAATACATTTCATATGAGATTATATTAATAAAACGGTGGAGCTGCAAAGAATTGAGTTGTTTTGCACTGATAGTTAAAATCTTAGCAATGGAGTATTAATCACTTTGGACTTACTGCTCATGCCAAAGCGCTGTAAAACCACCAAAGATCTTCTAGAGTGAAATTTTCCTAAAGTTTTCTAGAGTACTACATTGTGTGGTTGAGATTTACTGGTAAGTCACATCAGAAAAATTGATGTGACTTGCCAGTAAATCTCAACCACACAATGTAGTACTCTAGAAAACTTTAGGAAAATTTCACTCTAGAAGATCTTTGGTGGTTTTACAGCGCTTTGGCATGAGCAGTAAGTCCAAAGTGATTAATACTCCATTGCTAAGATTTTAACTATCAGTGCAAAACAACTCAATTCTTTGCAGTTCCACCGCTTTATTAATATAATCTCATATGAAATGTATTATTTTGTCATTAATAAAGATTTTTTGCAGATCATAAAAACAATAATAATAATAAATTAAAAAAATATATATTTTTGTTGTGAAAGCTTTTGTTTCTACTGCCATTATCTTCCATTGTCAACTGCCATTAAAGTGGATTTTCACCAAATTTGGAGGACAAAAACACCACTTCCAAAGGTCACAAATAACTTAATTAGCTACAATATTTTTGTTGTGAAAGCTTTTGTTTCTACTGCCATTATCTTCCATTGTCAACTGCCATTAAAGTGGATTTTCACCAAATTTGGAGGACAAAAACACCACTTCCAAAGGTCACAAATAACTTAATTAGCTACAATATTTTTGTTGTGAAAGCTTTTGTTTCTACTGCCATTATCTTCCATTGTCAACTGCCCATTAAAGTGGATTTTCACCAAATTTGGAGGACAAAAACACCACTTCCAAAGGTCACAAATAACTTAATTAGCTACAAAAGTCATGTTAGAAAGATACAAAAACCAGGTAATCTATCTTCCATCATACAAAAAAGAAAAAAGAAAAAAAAGGACGTAATCTTTACATCACACAATTGGTGGGCAACTAATTAAAAACAGAAAACGAATGTATTCCCCTTTCTTACTTTAAAAGAGATAAATACTAAATTATGCAGCAAAATATTGAAAAAGAAAAAGGTTAAACATAAAGTAAAATAATAATACCAAATCTATCATGATAATTAGGTTAAATTTGGAGAAACGAATAAATAATGAGTTGGGTAATTTAGTACTAGTATACTGTTAGTCTCTGAGCTCCAAGACAACAAATTGAGTGTTTGCTTTATAAATGGTATAGATAGACAGATAGAACATGATGAATTAGGGTTAATCACATTTTTAGTCTCCAACGTATAAACCTTGTGTCATTGTAGTCTTTAATATTTAAATTATGTCAATCTGATTGCCGATATGTATGAAAAATATCTTAATTTGGTTTGTCAATATTTAAGACGTAATTGAAAATATTAAGAGACTAGACTGAAATATTTTTTATATATTGGAAATCAAATTGATATAATTTAAATTTTGGAGACCAATTTAAAACACTTTTATATATTACAAATTAAATTGACACAATTTAAACATTGAAATTAAAATTTATTTAACCCTATATATAAATTACATACTAAAAAATTAAAAAGACTCATAACATTCCAAACAAGCATTGACATTGACAATTCGTTCCTATCTTATATCTTAAATGGGGTAGCCCATGCATTTTTCAAGTGGGTGGTGAGCTACTTTTTCTCACCTTGAATTGTTGTTTCAGTGCTCGTTATCGTGTCTGCTTTATTGCTTTGGTTTCGTACAGTGAATGTATCCATTAGGCATGAAATTGGTTGCTTTAAGGCCACAAAACAACGAGTCCAGATCTCTGCCGTGACACCCGTGGTGCTTTCTGCCGTGACGTCAAGATGACGTGGTTTTGGCCTAATATTTTTTTTTCTTTCTTGTTTTGTTCTTTCTCTAAGTTCTCATTACAATATATAAAGGTTTTAAAAACCAAATATTTTGGTCATTAAAAGTAAAAATTTTATTGCAAAAGATATTTAAAAATCAATTTCTATTTAGGGCCCAATTTTTATCATCACGAGAATAGTCGCTAAAAAGTCTTTTTAAAAAATTAATAATAAGGCTTTTAACGACAAAATTTTGAAAATATCACTAATAAATTGATTTTTAGAAATAAAATAATTTAGTCTCAAAATGATTTATTTTTTTAAACACAAAATTTTGTCCCAAAAGGATAATAATTCATCCCTAATGTCCAATCTTCGTTACTAAAAATATAATGACACTTTTCGTAACAAAAATATTTAGTGTCAAAATTTTATTTTCTAAAATCTTAATTTTTTTGTAGTGTCTCAAAGGACACAGAGTTGATAACCCTAAGGCCTCGTTTGTTTCAGTTTATGAGAGGGGGATTGGAATTAGGATAGCTGTGGGTCCCATTTAATGTGTTGTTTGTTTACAGAGTTGAGGAAGGAACTGTTAAGCCGAAGGGCTTAGGATAGGTCTTGCACATACGATTCGGATGGATTTCCGAGATTTGGTATTAGAAAAATAATCTGAAGGCATTAGAAATTTTTTATTTTTATTTATTTTTTATTTTATTTTTTTGATTTTGCTTCACCTAAATTCTCCTCTTCTTCTTCTTCTTCTCTCTTTCTCTCTCGCCTCCCCTGCCATAGTCTTCTTCATCTTCGGTCATTCGAGGTGCTTAGGGTTATCAACTCTGCGTCCCTTTGAGACACTACAAAAAAATTTAAGGTTTTAGAGACTAAAATTTTGGCACTAAATATTTTTGTTACGAAAAGCGTTATTATATTTTTAGTAACGAAAATTGGACATTAGTAATGAATTATTATCCTTTTGGACCAAATTTTTTGTCTAAAAAAATAAATCATTTTGAGACCAAATTATTTTATTCTTAAAAATCTATTTATTAGTGATATTTTTAAAATTTTGTTGATAGAAATTGGTCCCTAAATAGAAATTGATTCTTAAATATCTTTTGGAATAAAATTTTTACTTTTAAAGACTAAAATGTTTAGTCTTTAAAACCTTTATATGTTTTAGTGAGAGCTTAGAGAAAGAGCAAAACAAGGAGGAAAAAAAATATTAGGCTAAAACGACGTCATTTTGACATCACAGGAGAA